CAACAAATAAGTCTCATCTTGTGTAACCAGGTAACGATGTAAAAACTACCGGTATTTGGAGCAGGGTTTTTGGGGTTTCATTGTACACCACCACCAGTAACCAGTCTATTTTAATAGAAAATGTTTTCAATTTAAAATTTTCATTCAACACTGAAAACTATGGGCAGTGCCATATTGTTATTGTTTATACTCGTATATTTAAGTTTTATTTTAAAATGTTGCAAGTGGGTTTTATTGTGATGCTCTTGTAACGTGTCATGGAATGGGCCCAATATACCGTAAGTCAATAAATTGGGAGAACAACTTGTTAAAGAAAGTCGCAAACCACATCCAAATTTAAACCTACTAGTACATGTACATGCATGGTACATGTACGTGGGAACCCAACCACACAAGCCTGTCTTGTCACTGATGTGCAGAATCCACAAATGTATTATTTTCATATACCTTGAAAGCCTATTATTATGGAAAAAATAGCAAGTTTGCATGTGACTTTCTTTGGAAAAGAAACTTACATTATTTTCACAAGTTCCCTCTGCATTTCGCTATTGCGGTGGTGAAAACACATAGGCAATAACACTCAATGCATTGAAGCAATGCTACTGGTTCCCGCGGTGTGGAGCCATTGACATATTAATTATATTAATGCTTCTGATTACTGGCGTGTGCCAGTAATCAGAAGCAGAGCTGTTTTTTTTCTTGGCCTTTAATTTTCAGGGCCACTAGACATACAGTTTTCTTCAACGTAGATAACATGTATGTTGATGTACATGTACGAACGAGTACAAGCATGGTATGACCATTAAACATGTGCCATCAACTTGCACTTGGAGTTGAATTGGGCCGCGTAATGTAGAATTTGTACGTTATTTGTGGTCCAGTCAGGAGCTGTGTGGGCCTTTTGTACATGTACATGTACTTCACAAAGCTGCATGTATGCTACACAGGCCCAATAGAATTACAATCTATGGACTAGGGTTTTTGTGAACAAACAAAACAATATTTTACTAAAAAACATTTTTTTTCCATATTGATAGCTCAGGGAAAGCCTTTTTTTATGACTGAAAAAATAGCCGGTGCAAAGGTTCAAGTAGCCAGTCAAATTTGCCGGTTGCTGGCTTACTTTGAAACCCCTGGACACTGCTTGACCCCAAATTGCCAAGTCCGTGCCTGTGCTTACCCACGTGGGTGTTGGACAACTCGAACATTTGCCAACTCAACTCAGGACAACTCGACCGTTGAGACAACTCGCCCGACTGTTCAAGGCGAATGGAGTGAAACATTAAAAAACATTGAAACATTAAGAACTTTTTTCAGAACTAGGCCTACAAATAAATCAAAACTAATCCGTTTTCAAAGAATAAAATAAAGATTTAAAATAGAAATTCACAAAGATGGACAGCATGTACTCATGATTGTCAGCTGTGTGACAGCCTGACCAGTCACAATGCATGCTTTGCTTGTTTTCCTGTCGACTGCAAATGAAAGCCACACACTGATTGGCCCAATGGCATCTACTTGTATATCAGTGTACTGTACATGTGTAGAAAAATGTGTTGAACTGTGACTGTAGTGGAGATGGGGTTAAATTGGAACAATTTGCACAATATAGTATAAGCAGATTTTATTCCAGAAAAAAGTATTGCACAGTATAAATTTATGTTACAAATGTAGCCTATAAATGACTTAGACTTGTTAATGGTCAACTACTTAAATAATTCAAGTTGAACATGGCCATTTCATGTTTTTCAACTTTCCCAACTGTGGGGTAAAGTGAAACAAGGTACAGTATGAGGTTAAAGTCGGAGCATACATGTAATATGGTTATTTGCAAGGTAGAAAGTATTTGTAAAATCAATAAGTACATATATTGTACACGTACATGTATCTTGTGTTCAAGTAGTCAATTTTTCTAAGACCTAAGTGTATATATACATGAAGGTCATGTGCCCAACATGTAAACCACAAATTAAGTGAAATGTGTAGAAAGTTTATTAATATCGTACATGTATTTGTTTAATAAATGTTTCAAAAGCTGTATTTGTTTGATAAGGAGTAATGATTACTGATCATGCTTTTCTTTTTAAACAATTCACCATTTTTTTATTTTTTGAAGTCACTATATGAAATTTGCACTGTTTTCCAAAATGACTACACAAATGTAGAACAAGAAAGTCACACCCTTCTTAAATCAGTGAGTTAAAGTCAATGCTGCTAAGTGGAAATTAATATTATTGTCAGCTAGGCTTAATATAGGT